GAGATAAGCAAACATTAGCGTCTTCACTATTATTGGATTCTTCTCTTCAAAGAAAAGTCACACATATTGTGAAATGATAATATGACAATTCCTCACATACAAATAGATTTTTTGAAGAACGGACTTCAATAAATGCCTGCATTTGCATAAATAACAAAACCTTGACAACATACCTGAAGCTGTTGGAAGATCAACCTAGAGTCATGTGGAAATGTCTGATGTTTGGCAATGCTGCAAGGCCAAAAGCAAAGTTCACTTTGTGGTTACAACTGCAGAACAGACTACTTACAGTGGAAAGGTTAAAGAAATGCGGGATTCAGGGAGAAGACAAATGCAGCTTATGCAAGAAGAAACAAGAGATCACATTTATGTAGAGAAACTAAGCCTAACAGGAACTAACTGGGAGCAACATGTGCAAGAAGTGATTAGAAGAGCTAAAGGGAGATCAAGAGAAGCACAACTATTCAAAATGCTATACACAGAAATAGTACATAATATATGGATAGAGAGAAATCAGAGAATTTTTGAAAAGAAAAATAAGAGCTGGGAGAAGATAGCTAAGGATACAGTGTATGTTTGTTGCGCACGAGCTCCTTCTAGTATAGCTGAATTAGTGCAGGGATATAGATTTTAAAAGCTAGATAGGAAGAGCATGAGATTGTAATGTACATATGATAGTTATGCTGTGATAGCTAACTATGGAGCTTTGTAAATATTACTGGTGATTAATATAAAGGTTAATTACCAAAAAAAAACCTTGACAATATTTGTTAGAATAAAAAAAACTATATCAAGGATTTCTTTTGCAATATAATACTAATCATATTTCAATATCTCCATATAGCCTTTATACTTTCAGCTGTTGGGACTATTCGTCCAACTTCATATTTTTCAGATGAAGTCAATTTTCATTGCATATTTTTCATTTGGCCAATCATTTATCTGTCCAAATTCCATGACAGATTTGAGCTCAAGATTCTCGTAAATATTAAAAATATTGAGCGCTATATTATATCAATAATATCATCGATGATCATTTACATCGGTTCCATCATCACACAATAAAGACATAACTTATCGAGATCTCATTATTTTCAGGTACCTGAGCCTCTCCCATGAGGTCTTATAAAATGTTATGTCATGGTGCTCTTATAAAGCACTTGCCTCCTTATTATGACCATCTTGAACATTTGCTCCCTCCTTCTTCAAGGAGTTTTATCTTTGGAACCGATTTGTCTATTATGCTTAATGCGTGCCATAAACTCTGTCCATCATGGACGTTATTCTGTTTGGACATTAGTAGCTGAAATATGACATTTAGCTGGGTCAGTAAATGCGTCTGAAAATATTTTGCAAATGAATTATCACTTGAACCTCAAGTTCACATTTCTTGTACGAGGATCTAGATTTATTCATGATAATTCATTCCACGTATCACTTTTTCAGCTACCTATTTTCTCCCCCTAATGCTGGGATCACCAACATATATCCCCAACCTTCTTTGGGACCCATCTTTGTGCATTGTGGTGGAGCAATTAAATCATTTATCACATCCATATCTCTAGATGGAAATTATTTGGTTCCTGACCCTGAACCAATTGTGATAGGGAGAATTTATCATAATTTGTTGGCAAGATGCGAACAAGTGCTGCTGTATAATACACCTCATACCAAATTTCTATTTGAGAGTTTTGTTCTCATAACCAATGGTTTAGCTTAATTGGAGGCATACAATTTCTGCTAAACCAACTTGGATTTAAACCAGCATTATCAAGATAAATTATCATAATATATATTCTGGAACTGTGCTCTAATAATTTGAGCAAACAACCTTGCAAAAACCAAAGTGCAAGTTGATAACAAACGCACATGTGACCATACAATAGATGCATCTATTAAAATCATATAATAGTAAACGGTCCACATGGCAGGTGACTGGGCCCATATATATATATCACCTTTTATTCGTTCCAGAAATCAAGGGATTCAATCCCAACCTTAACTGGTATATCATGAGAATAAGCAGCACAAGAGAATTCTTGAAGAATCTTCTATTTCTTCAATATATGCCAATGTGAATTCTCAATTAATTTTCGCATCAATAAACCGGGATGGCCAACCGGTCATGCCAACTGATATTTATTTCAGTAAACATTTAATTTACTATGGCATGTGATTTCATATCATGCTTATACATCTGTAGTACAAATAGAAGAAAAGCCGGGTAACCTTTCATATTTACCCGGTATGTTATAGTAATATGAAGATAATCAATCTTCCTTTCATTTATAGTCTCAATATGCCAACCACTTTGGCTAATACATTTGAAACTCAAAAAGTTTCTTTTGAGACTTACTACAATATCAATGTCATGAACAATTTCATTCATCCGAGTAGTAACAAATTAGCTCTTCCGGAGCTCTTAATTGATTTTGTACTACAAGATCTTTTGTCACACCATCCATATGGTGAATGTCTCCTTCACGGAGAAAATCATATCATAATAATTGTCATGGTCAAAATCATCATAAGCAAAATCATTTCTTGCTTTACTTTTGCCTTTAATAACCTTTTATAAGGCATGTCACAATATTTTTTGCCGTACCACATGTACGCGACCAATGACATATTCATTATCTTTATTTCTCTCAAACCTTCCTTAGAGGTGAGCTGTAGTATTTATTCAACCATGCATAAATACATTCTTGTACATAATTTGTATCACATATATATTTTCACACTCACTTCAGGAATGAGTCTGCATTTACAATGCTTATCACAAGTCGCATTCTTTCAAAAAATGGACTATAATCGTCTGAACGTGCCTTATATTTACACACCAAATTGATACACATTTCCTTCACCTTTGAAGGATTATTTTGAGAACCCTTATTGTTCTCCTTTTTATAATTACCATAATGATGACTGTTATTATTTGATCTTTTGGCACGCCCACGTTCATTAGTCAACCATTTGTCTTAATTTAGACTTATTATGCACAGTTATCACATTCACTTCAAGAATGGAGCAAATCAAGTGGGACAAGCTTCATGCCTTTTCATGAAAAATACATTATTTTCTTTAGTCATCATTATATCATCAATATGGTGCATTGGGACTCAAACCCAATGCCTTACCCATATAAAGACATGTTAGGCCATAACGAGTTGGGACTCGAACCCAACTTTTACAATCATGGATCATCAGGATTCAAAACCCGATGTCTTACCCTCATGGTGCGTTGGGACTTGAACCCACCGTCTTATCCTTATATAATGTTTATCACAAATGGTCTGATTCACATCAGGAATGGAATATAATTTTATGTAGCCACAGAGTAAAATCTATCATAAAAATAAGCAAAATAGAAATGATAAGAACTATTATCAATAAAAATATGATAGAGTACAAACTCGTGTACTAGTATCCTACATATAAACATGTCAATAAGAGAGTCACCATGTAGCGTTATTACTATGTGATGTATTACTGCAAACTAATGCATGATGATTAAATAAAATACACACAAGAATTGAAACACATAACTAAATGTACTTAACTTAAAAAAATAAATAATCTTAAGTAATGACTATTCCTAGCATATTCTGTTTTAATACAGATGATGTCAAAATAGGCTAGTAAAACATAATGATATCACCTTGTCAATTATAAGCATAAAAATGTTGCATCTAATTAGATTAAGCCATCGATCTTAAAAGTCCTCGTTAATACATAACATGACCAGAATGTTTTTTAATGTTTCACAAAGATCTTTTAATATCATGGAAAATCAATGATAGCATGATGTTATAATTGTATAAGACCAATTTTAGAACTAGGAACAAAGTTAGTGGACATATACAGCCATACGAGCATGAAAACTTAAAATCAAAGCTTAGTTTTTTCTAAACAAAGCAACTACAAATCTTAAATTTTAACATAAGCTAAATATACAATTTATGGTATAATTTAAAAAATAATACTCCCTGGACACAATAGAGGCAAACTAAACATTAATATGGCATACGTAATAATGCCCATATTTCCATTGGTTCAACCAAATTGGTTCAAGGTTGTTGACCATTCATATCTTCTAGGTTGATTAAAGCTTCGTGCTGATAACGTTTTACGAAATGTAGCTCAAAGTAATAATATAAAACACGAAAATAGACAAGAATGTAGGGAGCAAGAGAGAAGAGATTCTTATTTCTTACGTGTATTCAAGTGTGTACAATGTGATGTCCAAACCCTCTATTTATAGGATGATATAGGTAATACAAAGGGATGCCATAAATATGGTATTAACTATTGAGAACATGGGGGAAGATCATAGAGGTGTGGGAGTTACATCCATAATGGTAAGAAGTAGTGGGAGGTTAATGGAGAAGAATAGTGGGTGTTACTCCCTTAGGAGTTATGGACATCCACCATAATCAAGTATTTCATACCAGGATAGCCATTTTATGAAATTAACCTGTAGAAAACACAAGGGATTGGCAGCAAAAGCTGTTATCCGGTGTGTGCTCTTTTTTTTTTTTTTGGCAACTTTGTTATTGCCAGAAGGAAAGATCACAGCTGGTTCAGGACAAGAAAGAGCTCAACTGACTTTATAGCCTGTTTGGCCAAGCTTTTTTTGGGTCCAAAAGTGCTTTTTTTGGCCAAAAGCACTTTTGGCCAAAATTTAGGTGTTTGGCCAAGCTTTTTGATGGAAAAAGTGCTTTTGAGGAGAAACGGAAGCAGTTTTTGAGAAGCAGAAAAAAGTAACTTTCCTCCAAAAGCACTTTTCTGAGAAGCACTTTTGAGAAAAATACACTTACTAGATGACGACGTCTTTAGAGCCATAATACAATTGAAATTACTCCATGGCATCATGCATCAAATATGGCATTGAGCACTACTGGAGCTTAATTTGCTTGTAGTAGATCAGCTCCTGCCTTTATTGATCAATGCTATTAACTTGATTTTTATTTCAGAAGATACTGATATCTAATAACATTCAGTAGTAAAACACTTTTTAGATAAAACAAGGTTAGTTTAGAGGGAAGCTTTGGGAAATTGAAGACAGTTAGAGATTGTGTTATTTCTAATTAATTGGGAATGGAGCCCAAAAAATAAAGGCCCTTAGTGGCTGAGAAAGTACTCCATCATGTTGTTCTATCTCGAAACAGAACTCAAAAAGAATATTATAAGAAAACATGTCCTAGTCAGCTGCACTGGCATGAATGGGGCATTAGAAGATCAGGACTGTTATATTCCTTACTTGAAGAATGCTACTGAAATCCAGCAACTATCCATGCTCTAATTTTTCATCTTCACTGAATGTGTTTTTCCATATGTTAAACAAGTAAACAACGGTGATTGCGATTTAAACAAGATTCAATCAGAACCAACGTCTACCCCTTTTTTCTTCAGGAATTCCTTGGCTTCAAGAATATCCTACAAAATAAAAACAACAAATGAACATGACGAGATATGCTTTTCGTTATGTTTCAAGAAGACCCCATCATCCTAACCAATTTTCCAATTATGTGATCCTTTTATTCACAACCATAAGCCCTTGTTTTCCCAGCACTATCTTGGCTACCAAATAGTAGGCAATATTTCTTAAACAAAAAAAAGTATAACTGTACCTGCTGTAAGAAAAGAGCCTCTTGAGGACATGTGGGAAATGTCATTAGACCAATGCCAACCATGAACAGACCATAGCAACCAAGCGACATAATGAGGTATAGAGGCAACTGCGACGACAATAGCAACAAACTAAGAATCACTGAAAAATAAGAAACTTTAACCAACTGCCATTGCCAAAGGTAACAAAAAAGATGGTCAATAAGAGCTCACCAGCCAAGTGTAACTCTCTGGAATTGTTGATGTCTGCAACAAGCCTATCCAAACGGCAGCTACTCCAAGCAATAACGTCAAAATCTTCACGATTTGTTTCATTGGATCTGCAGCAGTGCGTTGCTTTGACATGAGTACTAGAGGAGACAAAAGTCTTTGCTACATATAATAAACTAGGAAACTATTGATCAACAGCCCAACAACTAAAATGTTAAGAAGTCAATCAAATAAACTTTCAATGTACAATCTAAAGCAAACAAGCTCAAAAGCGTAGACGACAAAGCCATCAACGCGGTCATCAGACTCTCGGCGAGAGTGTAATGCAGCATACATGTTATGTGGGATAGCAAGGAAAAAAATTCCATGACACATGTAAAGCCTATTAAGGATTCAAGGGAACACAGTGACCGAATGGCCTGATATGTACGTCCCCGAAACATGCATTTCGATGGATGTTCTTCAGATACAACTATTGCCAAAAGAGGAAACCGAGCACCGGGTAGTCCCATAAGATCATAAAAACTTAGCTAATTAAATACAGTTGAAGCAGAGTAGAAAGCCTGGATTATCTTTTGGTCCTGGCAGCTATTGAGAAAATTCAGGTATTGGTGGCTCCGACTGAGAGGCATCAGGAACATAACCAATTTACGGCAAATTAAGGTAGAAGGTCTTTCCGTATGAGAAACCAGCTTAGAAGCAAAGATTCGGAGGGATCAAGAAATACACGTCAGTAAAGTGAGAAATTCAGTTAAAATGCGAGTTCCAAAAATTCTCGTAAATAGAAAGAACTTCCTTTGGACATACTTTTGTTTTCCAGAAAGTTTCCAGTGACTCCAACCAAGAATAATCAGAACTTTGACGCTTGTGGAGATTTACCATGAAATAATAGTTGATAGTCTAAAATGTACCATAAAACATTAGACTGTTAACTTACTCAGTGTGATGACAATTCAAATTTACTGCAGAGAACGTCACACAAATATGGAAACAGAGGGTTCCCACCCTGTCATCCCTTGAACAAATAGATCGCTAAATGAAATTTGTTCAGCAAATCAAAATAACAGCACTTGAACTTGGACAACCAAGGAGCATTTTTCTTTAGTTGTTCGTACTTGTAGCTTTTATGTTCATTATTGTACATATACCTAGCAAGTGATAGGTTTTCACCCCTTTTCTATTCTTCATGTTTGGATTAGTGGCAAATTATACATCTTGATTCAGGAATGGCCTTTGCTGTTTTCATGTTTGTTGTATTTTTTTCCCCTTTTTCTTCAATAACACTAGAGAGTCGCATCTATTTCTCAATGTCATGGAGGCTGTTTTCTTGCCTTGTGGCTAAGTATATCTATCACAAGGAACAGTTCAACCATGATGAACTACATAGCATGACGATAGTAATTTTACCCCTGTCAAAAGATATCTCCAGATAGTTATGGCTGGTGACCATCAGAAGGTATTAAGATGTTTACACATTTCCAAAGATATGTATGCCAATAATATGCAAAAATAAAAAATACCCATTTTTACTGCAGCTAACATGCTAAAAATTGCTGGTTCTTGCTATTTGCGCGACAACCAATCCATGTAAGCAACCTTTATGACTTTGATCTCCTATAAGAAGAAGCTACAACTAATCCTCTACGATATGTATGCATTAGGACTTTATGAATTTAGGGCTTCCTCCCCTAGGCTGTCCCTAAAGGACTTCGTTGACACTGTTTGGCCTGTCACATAAATATTTTAGGATACTTATATAGATGAAAAACAAGGTTCCCAGTTGGTCATATAATGTATTCACATGCTCGTTGACTGCAGTTGATCAAGTATGGACCATTTGCATTTAAGACTTACAAGTTGTGTTTCTTAATTTTCCTTAAAACAGGATGTGAAGATACATTGGTCAGGTCTCGAGCTTCAAGGATCCTGTAAAAGTAGCAACTTGATGTGTCTAGAAAATGGGTAGATTGCACTAAAAAGTTGGAGGAATGCAATAAGGAATCCTTACTTAACACTTTTGGGTCCCCCGAAAGCGACGACTCATGAATCAAACGCATTCTAAAGATCAAAGTTAGAAACGGTGTTGTTAAAGGCTCGTCAAAGGTGCACTAAAGCTCTGAAACTAGCCGCAAAATAGGCTGAATGCTTGGCCTCACTTAGGCAGTGCTTCAGAGGTGATTTACAAGAATGGCCATGGAAGTGGGTGGTCTTGAGCTTTTGACCCTGCTTGCCCCATGGAAAAACCTTCAACTTTAAAAGGTTCGAATATTGACCTTAAAGGTTTGCCAATGGGGCAAGCGTGGATAAAAAGGTTTGCCCCTCGGGCAAGTGGGGGAACAAAAATTCAAGACCACCCTTTATGGTGTCATATTTTTGCACTTCTTTGGTGCTTCAGTGCAGTCACCAAAGCGCTAAGGCGTAGGCCGCATCACCAATTGGCATTGTTGTAAAGAGGCTAAACAATAAATATTTCACGAGATTATACAGTTTTTAAATAGTTTCCTACAAAATTGTTGTTCTTTTTTTCTTTTCGGTGCAAAGTAAGTATTATATAATATATATATAATATATATATATAATATAATAATATATATATATATATATATATATATATATTACGTTGCTCATATAACATCAAAATTTGCTCCATGGCTATAGCTAGCACTGCCATGAGAGTCAAAAATAGGGATAATACCATTACTACTACTACAACAACTGAGCCTCAGTACCAAACAAGTTGGGGCCAGCTATATGGAATCCTCACTGACCATGTTACTTTATATAAACTCATCTAGGCGATGATACCATTACAGTAGGAAAATTGTTTTTCTTGGAAAAAGTTTTCCTAGAATTTCTGATCAACCAAACATAAACCACCAAATCGCCCATAAATCCACAAATAACTCTAACCCCATAAACTTTTACAGAAATCCCAATTCAATTTCAGCTAAATTCATCACACCCAGATGATAAAAATCTCGTCTTTTCACCAAGTAGTTTTAGAAGACGGGAATAACAAAGCAAATGAATTTATGTTCGGAAGAAAGAAAAAGCAAACAGAAAGTGAAATTACAATCGAAAATAAACCTGATATTGAATGTGAAGCGCTGCTCCGATTTTCCGACTGCTGATTCTGTTTCTTCTCAACGGTGCGCCCAACAAAAAGGAAGATCCGTACGAATCAGGTTTTTAGTTATGGTTATTTGGTTGTTTCAACTTATCAACCAAATACGAGACAGCTTAATATTCTTATAACTAATCATTACTTATATATTTTTTTTTGGCAGTGGGACATTTTTCCTCGAAACTAGTTGGTTAATAACTTAAAGGACAAATGTCCAAATTTTGGGAGAAATTCAAAAACAATTAGATTTACAAGTGGTCATTCAAAATAGTCATAATTTTAAAAGTAATTGAAATTTAACCACTTTTCATGTAAAGATAAATTTAAACAAAAACACTGTTCAAAATCCGGAAAAATACTCCAGTATAATATACTGGAACTAGAGTATAATATACTGGAGTTCCAGTATACTTATGTTGGAACTCCAGTATATTATACTGAAAACTTTTCGCATGTTGAAGTTCCAGCATACATACACAGGTGCACCGATCTCCAGTATATTATACTGAGAACTTTTCGCATGTTGAAGTTCCAGCATACATACACAGGTGCACCGATCTCCAGTATATTATGCTGGAACTTTGCGTGTCGCAGCAAAATAGTGGTTATTCTTCAATGACTTTGCAAACGCTGGCTATTTTTAAATGATCAATCCAAAAACTGGCTAGCCCGTGCTATTTTTACCCAACTTTACCAATCAAACTGTACCAGAAGTTTTTAAATTTTACCTTACATTATATTAAGAAATCATGTATATTTATTGTTAGCATATCATTTCGTATTTACATTAATTTTAACGAAACTTTGACATAAATTTGTGTAAATTGTTAGTAAACAGTATTTGTAAAATAATTCTGTTAGTAAAAATACTAATATTACTACTTTCAACATCACTATTAATTCGATTTATACCTTCAGCAAGGAGATCGTGAATAATCACTTGCAATTCCTGGACTTGGGTAATAACAGACTTGCTATCTACCATTTTGTAGTCCACGGCCTCTCTTTTCAGCAGCTTTATTGTCCTCTTCGATTATCAACTGAACAATGAGATCTTCAAGTGACATCTCCTTGCGTTTGTGTTTCAAGTAGTTTTTGAAGTCCTTCCATAAAGGAGGCAACTTCTCAACCATCGCTGCTACTTGGAATGCTTCATTGATGACAAGACCTTCCAAGATACCGCTCCTCCACCGATAGTGAATACATATCCACTTGTGGACTTCGAATCAGCTGAACTAGTGATCCAATTTGCATCACAGTATCCCTTAATCACCGCAGGATATTTAGTGTAGTGCAAAGCAAAGCCCTGGGTATGTTCTAAATATCCAAAACTCGTTTCATTGCCATCCAATGAGATTGACCTGGATTGCTCGTGTATCGACTCAATTTACTTATAGCACAAGCTATATTTGGTCGTGTACAATTCATGATGTACATTAAGCATCACAATACATGAGCATAATCCAACTGTGATATGTTTTGGCCTTTATTCTTTGCTAATGCAAGATTCACGTCAATTGGATTCTTTGCAACTTTAAACCCTAAGGGTGTGTTTGGTATGAAGGAAAACATTTTCCGAAAAATATTTTCCAATTTTTCCATGTTTGGTTGGCTTAAATGTTTTGGAAAACATTTTCCTTATGAACTCATTTTCCTCCAATGGGAGGAAAATGTTTTCCTTATCAAGAGAAGGAAAAACATTTTCCAAAACTCCTTCTCAACCTTCCCCACCCTCACCAACCCACCCCACCCCCTCTCTTCAAAAAAGGCTTTTTATTCAAATTTCAGTTTTTTCGTTACCACCCACCCTACTACCCCTCTACCCCATCCCACCCCCACCCCTCTCCCGCAAAAAAGAAATATTTTTTTTACCTTAACTTTTTTTTTTTGCAATTTCAAATTTCTCTTTTTTCGTTTTTCTGCACCACCCACCCCAACCCCACCTGCTACTAAAATTTTTTTTTTACTTTTTTTAAAATTTAAATTTCTGTTTTTTTTTTCATTTTACTGTCACCCCCCCCCCTGAAAAAAATTAAAATATATTTTTCAGTTTTAATTTTTTTATTTATCGGTTTAAAGGTTCAAAATTTTACAAGTTCAAAAATTGTGAGTTCGGAGGTTTATGTGTTTGGAAGTTTACATGTTTAGAAATTATAAAGTTTACGGGTTCGAAATTTCGCGATTTCGAAAGTTTATAAAAAAATTTGGGTTCGAAAGATTGTTGGTTTGAAAGTTTATGGCTTCATGTTTATTATATCTAAATTATTTATGAATACTCTTGAGAAGTCATTTTCCTTAATTTGCGTACCAAACACCGAAAAATGAATAAGATTACTATTTGTTTTCCAAGAAACATTTTCTTGGAAAATATTTTCCGTTATACCAAACACACCCTAAGTGCTTGAATTTTTCAAGTACAGTTAAATATAATGAGATTGTGACAATGCCAGACCTTGATGAGTCTTATGATTAAATCAGCAACTCCCAAGTCCTTCATATCAAACTTGCTAGTTAGCATACGCTTAGTAGCATTTATGTTGGCAATGTCATTACTCATTATCGGCATATCATCCACATATAGGCAAAGAATGACTATGTGATTTGGAACAATTTTAATGTACACACATTTATCACATTCATTTATAATAAAACCATTTGGCAACATTGTTTGGTCAAATTTCGCATGCCATTGTTTGGGTGCTTGTTTTAGTCCGTAAAGGGACTTAACAAGTCTATAGGCCTTCTTTTCTTTACCTGGAACCACAAACCCTTCAGGTTGTTCCATGTAGATTTCTTCCTCCAAATCTCCATTTAAGAAGGCCGTCTTGACGCCCATTTGATGAATTTCAAGATCATACACTGCAACTAATGCTACTAACATCCGTATGGACGTAATTCTTGTAACTGGAGAGTATGTATCAAAGTAGTCAAGACCTTCTCGTTGTATTACCCTTTGACTACAAGTCTTGCCTTAAATTTATCAATAGTGCCATCATCCTTCATTTTCCTCTTAAAGATCCATTTAGAACCCAAAGGTTTATTTCCAAGAGGAAGATCAACCAATTTCCATGTATGGTTGTTCAATATGGATTCTATTTCACTATAGACTGCCTCTTTCCAAAACAATGATTCCGAAGAAGACATCGCTTCTTTAAATGTTCGAGGCTCATTTTCCAATAAGAAAGTTACAAAATCTGTTTCAAATGAAGTAGACGCTCTTTGACGTTTACTTGGATCCTCTTGATTAAATGTACTTTCTTTTGTTTCTTCCCAAGGTCATTTAGATCCTTCACCAATCGACTCACATTCCTTTTTATACGGATATATATTTTCAAAGAACTCAGCATTATCTGATTCTATAACCGTATTATTATGAATGTTGGGATTTATTAATTTATGAACCAGAAATCGATATGCTTTACTATTGGTCGCATATCCTATGAAAACACAATCAACGGTTTTCTGTCCTATTTTTACCCATTTGGGTTTAGGAACTTGCACTTTTGCCAAACACCCCCACACTTTAAAATAATTCAAGTTGGGATTCCTTCCTTTCCATTTTTCATATGGAATGGATTGTGTTTTGCTATGGGGTACTCGATTTAGCATCCGGTTAGCCGTAAGAACGGCTTCCCCCCACAAGTTCTGTGGCAACCCAGAACTTACCGACAATGTGTTCATCATCTCCTTTAACGAACGATTCTTTCTTTCAGCAATTCCATTGGATTGGGGCGTGTAAGGGGCCGTTGTTTGATGAATAATACCATATTCTAAACATATTTGTTCAAAAGAAGATTCATATTCACCACCCCTATCACTTCTTATCAATTTGATTTTCTTGTAAGTTGCGTTTCAACTTCATTTTTGTATTGCTTGAATGTGTCTATTGCCATCTTTACTATTAAGTAAGTAAACATAGCAATATCGAGTACTATCGTCAATAAAAGTTATGAACTACTTCTTTCCACCGCGAGATGGTATTGATTTCATGTCGCAAATAGCTGTGTGAATTAAGTCTAAAGGATTTGAATTCCTTTCAACTGAATTATAAGGATGTTTAACATACTTAAATTCCACACATATTTGACGTTTTAATTTGTCACACTCAAACTTAGGCAATACTTCCAAGTTAATCATTTTCCACAAGGTTTTATAATTGACATGACCCAAACGTATATGCCATAATTCATTTGACTCAAGTAAGTAAGATGAAGCTGAAATTTTATTATTATTCTCAACAACCATTACATTCAGCTTTAAAAGATCCTCAGTGAGGTAACCTTTTCCTACAAACATTTCGTTCTTACTTATTACAACCTTATCGGATATAAAAACACACTTAAAACCGTTCTTAGCAAGAAGTCCAACAGAGACTAAATTCTTCCCCTCTCAAAGGGGAAGAATCTGATTCGATCTCCGGGCTAATCTCGGAAACATGAAGGACGTTGTTCAAAGACACCACCTCGCCAGAAGTCATCTTCAGAAAGATCTTCCCACATCCTTCAATCTTGGCGGTTGCAGCATTTCCCATAAAAAGAGTCTCTTCGGGTCCAATAGGAGCATATGTTGCAATGGCTTCCCTAACAGCACAAACATGGTGAGTGACTCCAGAATCAATCCACCACTCCTTAGGATTTCCCACCAGGTTGCATTCAGAAAGCAAAGCACACAAGTCATCAACATCTTCATGCTTTTCAACCATGTTTGCTTGACCTTTCTTCTTGTCTTTCTTCGGAGCACGACACTTCATAGATTTGTGCCCAACTTTCCCACGGTTGTAGCAATTTCTGTTGAACCGCTTCTTGCTTGGGTTGCTTTACGGTCCAGAAGCCTGCTTCCTCTTTCTCTTATTTTGAGAAGTATCCTCAACGATGTTTACTCCCATTATTGTTGAGTTTCCACGACCTCTCTTTTCAACAACTTTGTTGTCCTCTTCGATTCTCAACCGAACAATGAGATCTTCAAGTTACATCTCCTCGCGTATGTGTTTCAAGTAGTTTTTGAAGTCCTTCCACAAAGGAGGCAACTTTTCAATCATCGCTGCTACTTGGAATGCTTCATTGATGACAAGACCTTCTAAGATACCGCACCTCCACCAATAGTGAATACATATCCA